ATGGAACAACTGATTGGTTCAAAATTGGGAAAGGAGTACGGCAAGGCTGTATATTGTCCCCCAGCTTATTTAACTTATATGCAGAATACATCATGTGGAAGGCTGGACTGGAAGAAACCCAAGCCGGAATTAAGATTGCCGGAAGAAATATCAACAACCTCCGATATGCAGATGATACCACTCTGATGGCAGAAAGTGAGGAGGAATTAAAGAACCTTGTAATGAGAGTGAAAGAGGAGAGTGCAAAAAATGGTCTGAAACTCAACATCAAAAAAACTAAGATCATGGCCACTGGTCCCATCACCTCCTGGGAAATAGAAGGGGAAGATATGGAGGCAGTGTCAAATTTTATCTTCCTGGGCTCCATGATTACTTCAGATGGAGACAGCAGCCCTGAAATTAAAAGGCGCCTTCTTCTTGGGAGGAAAGCGATGACAAATCTTGACAGCATCTTGAAAAGCAGAGACATCACCTTGCCAACAAAAGTCCGAATAGTCAAAGCTATGGTTTTTCCTGTCGTGATGTATGGAAGTGAGAGCTGGACCATAAAGAAAGCAGACCGCCGAAGAATTGATGCCCTTGAATTGTGGTGCTGGAGGAGGCTCTTGAGAATCCCCTGGACTGCAATGAGAACAAACCTATCAGTTCTAAAGGAAATCAACCCTGAATGCTCACTTGAAGGACAGATTCTGAAGCTGAGGCTCCAGTACTTTGGCCATCTCATGAGAAGAAAAGAGTCCTTGGAAAAAACCTTGATGTTAGGAAGGTGTGATGGCAAGAGGAGAAGGGGACGACCGAGGATGAGATGGCTGGACAGTGTCTGCGAAGCAACCAACATGAACCTGACACAACTCCGGGAGGCAGTAGAAGACAGGAGGGCCTGGCGTGCTCTGGTCCATGGGGTCACGAAGAGTCGGACACGACTAAACGACTAAACACACAACACAGATGGTTGTACATGAGAATAAAAAATCCCCTGAAAATAAGCCCTAATGCATTTTTTTTGGAGCAAAAATTAATATAAGACTCTGTCTTATTATCAGGTAAACAGAGTAACAGCTCTTTGTCCGTTTCGTGTCCAGTTTGGTCATTTGAAAGAAATTGAGGTTTTTAGGTTGACAAGAAAAAAGGGTTAAGGATGTGCCCTACATCCGACGTTTGGTATCCCTTGTGTTGATGCTTCCCAAGTCTCTGTGAACAAACACAACCATCAAGCCTGACCAGATTTTCAATTGATTCCCCCCTCAGGTAACGTGAGCAGAGACTGTACTAGTGACGGTTGGTCCGACATGTACCCAGGTCCGTATATAGCAGCGTGTGGCTATGACCCAAACGCCACCGTCTCCGATGAAGAGGTGAGTAAAATAGGATGAAGTTGGGGTTCCGCAACGTTGGCAAGAAACTGAACATTGGATTTCCAAAGACGTTTGGCCTCGGACGGCTACTTGAATGGCATGAAGGACTCTTAAGACCCATGTTGCTTGTTTTGTGATATTGAAAGTAGATCAGCCGCTGCTTTGAGAACTTTGGTCTGTAGGAATAATGAGAACATCATGTCCGTTCGTGGCGTATTCCTAAAAATGACCAAAAGGTTGCAAATTTCGTCTTATTTGGCATGTAAAGAAAACCAAACCTGTCAGATCCGAACAGAAGACTAGCACATCCGGACTTGAGGGTTTGAGTGCTAGGTAAAAGTGTGGCTTTCAATCCCTGCGTATTCATCAATGCCTAAATTAGGTTTGCTACCTTTTTTTTTTTTTAAAGGCTCCTCACCTCATTATTTATGAAGCTTTCTTGGCTGCAAGCGGCATTCCTGTTGAATTGAACTGGAGCCAATGGGAACGAATTTTTGGATTAGGGTAGAATTTACTACATTTTCATCCCTTCCACCTCAAATTTTCTTTAAAAAAAAAAAAAACCCAGAATGTGGGAGATGGCATAGTTTGGACAACTCTTGATGCCTGCCGTGGATCTGATATTAAAATCCTGCAATGAATGGGTTTCCATCATCAGGTGCCCATGAAGTTCAAGTGCTAACTCTTTGTCGATCCATAGGAAAGAGCTGGTGAAATTTCCTGCCTCTTGCTGTCAGAGAGAGAGAGAGAGAGAGAGAGAGAGAGAGCACTCCGTTGTCTCTCCCCAGAGGGAGATTCCTCTGTGTTGAGGGTGTTTGGTTTAGTTTTTCCTGAAAAATCTCTCAGGAGACTTCTCAGATGCTTTGTTACATTCTTTCCCCCCAAAAGAAAGGCTGAACTGTGCAGGATTGTTACCATATCTATACAGAATGGTGTATTTCCTGTGCAGGATTCACCTGGAAAGAGCAAGAGGAACACCAAGCTGCCAAGGATTGTTTGACTATTCCTACACAGGATGGCACTGTTCCTGCTCAGGATTGAACTGGAAAGGGCGTTAAGCGGGTACAGACTTTGGCAGTTTCTTGTGTTGAACAACAGGCACAAAGGAAAACAGAAAAGGGACAGCAAAACCGAAGTCTCGTTTTTGTGGGAAGCCAGGAAATCTCCCCTATAGGACAGAAAATTCGTGGTGGGCAGCATTAGCATGGTGTGGCTTACAAAACTGCCCCAATACTGGAAAATTCTGTGAATGCTCATTGCATCTCTACTTTCGAGTAGCCCCTTGATCAGTTGTCCTCGGAACGGGAACAGGAAGCAAAATGTGTTTACATATACATTCATACGTACACATATGTATACATATTTGTTGTGTGTTTGTGTGTGTGTGTGTGTGTGTGTCTGTATGTATGTATGTGTGTGTGTGTGTATGTGTGTGTATGTATGTATGTATGTATGTATGTATGTATGTATGTATGTATGTATGTTTTTATCTGGTAGTGAGAAAGGCCATCCTGCCCAAATCACTTTTACATGGAACTAGGAAACTGAGCAACTGAGCAAAGTTTGGGAAAGTCTTCTTTTAAGATTACTGGTATAACATGCTGACTAGAGGAATCTGGAAGCAAAATGCCAGATACAGGGGAAGAGGGATCAGGAGATAGGTCTCCAATGGTCTTGTGGGCTCCCAGAGGCATCTGGTGGGGCCCCTGTGAGATCCAGGAAGCTGGACCAGATGGGCCCAGAAGATCCAGCATAGGGCTCTTCTGAGGTTCTTACGGTCTGAAAGATGACTTCTCCAAGTTCTGTCTGAAAGTGTGGGTCTTTGCCCATCCCTTATGACCGGAAGCATAGGGCTCTTCTGAGGTTCTTACGGTCTGAAAGATGACTTCTCCAAGTTATGTCTCTCCAAGCGTGGGTCTTTGCCCATCCCTTGTGACCGGACCTTCTCGATCATGGCAGGTCCCAACCTGGAACATCGTGGCCCTCTAGTCTCTGCCATAGACCTACTCTTTCCTCCCGGACCCTGATGGAGCCATGAATCGGATCAGCTCTATTTGATTCACGAGGCTGTTGTCTTCTCTGTTTTTGTAAATTTCTGCTACTCATGTGGCCAGAACAAAACTGGCATCTCAGAAATGTCTGGAGTATACAAATGAAAAAGCATTAAGAAAGCATTAAGAGCCCATTGTGTGCGTTCTCTTGGCAACACGGGTTTTGTGCAAGGCAGTCGACAGATTACTCCCGAGGTTTCCCTAATCACTTTGTGGCCACCATAGAAACTTCTTGACCTCCAAGGAGGCAGGCCGCCTACCGCATTTTTGCCAGTGAATAAAACTTGGGGAGCGTAAGCGTTTCCTTTCAACTTAGGGACCCGGGAAATAATGAGCGAATTTGCAAACGCTCCAAAATTCTGCACATCCCCCAACAGATCCCCTGAGTTTCCCATCCATATTTCAGTATCTCACAAAGCTACTTTGAAACAATTAAGGATCTGGTTGGGGGCAGATGAAGGAAGCCGCTTGCCGTTTGTAAAGATTGAGCGAAATTTGCCAAAGCAAGTAACTCCTGTTTGGAGTTTGGGAAAGAATTCGAGGTTGAGAAAGTTCATAGGTGAAAGAATATGAAATGAACCAAATTCTCAAAGCTTATCTGACTATAAAGCAGTTGCAGATCTTATAAGGTTGAGAAGGAAGGGCGGACAAAAGAACCGTCATGAAAAACAGAGAATTAAAGGAGGTGTTAAAATTGTGTTTGGAAATAACCAAAATGCTTTCAAATATTAGAAAATAAATTGCTTTGAGAACCAGGTGATTTTTTTTAAAAAAAAAACTGTTGAAGCAAAGCAAAACGTACTGCTTCTGTACTGCCCCATAGCGCTTAAAGCACTCTTTGAGCAGTTTACAATTTAATTATGTGGGCTATACATCACCCCGCCCCATCCCCAGCAAGCCGGGTGCTCAGAAAAATTGAAGACTGAGTCAACCTTGATCTGGCTGTTGTTGTTAAGTCGTGTCCTACTCTTCGTGACCCCCATGGACCAGACCACGCCATGGCCTGTCTTCCATGGCGTCCCGGAGTTGGGTCAAATTCATGATGGTCGCTTCGATGACCCTGTCCAGCCATCTCATCCTCTGTCGTCCCCTTCTCCTCTTGCCTTCACACTTTCCCAACATGAGGGTCTTTGCCAGGGAGTCTCCTCTGCTCATGAGATGACCAGCGTATTGGAGCCTCTGCTTCAGGATCTGTCCTTCCAGGGAGCACTCGGGGTTGATTTCCTGCAAGGGAAATTGATTTCCTGGGTAGGTTTGTTCTCTTTGCAGTCCAGGGGACTCTCAAGAGTCTCAAGAGTTGAGCTGGCTACCTGAGCCAATGAGGGTCAAACTCAGATCATAAGCAGAGTCTTGACTGCAATGCTGCCGTTTAACCACTGCGCCACAAGGCTCTTCTGCCTGTCTGTCTACCCGTCTAGCTAGCTATCTAGTTTTGTTTTAATGAGCAAATGAACTGTGATATACTTTGATTTTCTGTGTTGCCAGACTTTCTTCTATGGCACTGTGAAAACGGGATACACCATCGGCTACAGTTTGTCTCTCATCGTCTTGTCGGCGGCCATGATTGTTCTCTGTATTTTCAGGTAATAAGCCGAGTGTGGATGGAAAGGAATAACTGGATGAGTGGGGGAAAGCGGTTCCATTCCTGCCTTCCTTCTAAGTCAGCTCTCTGCATGGGACAACAGTGTAGCAGACGGGGGATTAGGCATGGTCTGGAATATAAAAGCCTGCAGAGGAAACTGATGCTTATAGTCACTTTCTTCATCCCAGCCCTTCTTATATTTGAGGCAGTGGTTCCCAGCCTTGGGTCACCAGGTGTTCTTGGACTACAACTCCCAGAAACCCCAGCCAGCACAGCTGGCGGTGAAGGCTTCTGGGACTTGAAGTCCAAGAACATCTGGGTGATCCAAAGTGGCAAACCCCTATTAAAGAGTGCTGAGATAGTAGAAAACGGATGAAATCAAAATAAAACCCACAATGAATTTTTTTTTATATAAAGATGGCTTGCGGATCACTTTTATAAAAAAGGGTGCACCACTTCTGAGACACCTCTAAGTTGGTGGCTCATCCACCTCATAAAAACCTGAGCATCTTGTTTAAAATAATATATATGCACCCAGATAGTAGACACCTCGGAAGGTTTGAAGAATTCTCACAAGCGCTGCAGCGAAGGCGCATGTCTGTATTTTACATTTTTCTATAGCCGTTTGACGGTCTATTGGATCCTTCTACTTTCGTAAAGTGCTAAGCAATCCCTGCTTTGAAATTGCTTTCCTTGTTGCATATTGAGCAAACCCAGAGATCCCAGTGTTCTCCAGGGAGAGAGGACACATTAAATCCATGCCCCAGGTGACTTGGCATCCAGGCTATATCTCCTGCAGTAGGAGAAAAGGGTCATGGGCTATGGAGTAGGAGAAAAGAGGTCATGGGCTATGGAGTAGGAGAAAAATGGTCATGGGCTATGAGCTGTATTCATGGAGAGTGGGGCCATCAAGAGCTACTAGTCAAGGATACATGTCCTCTCCAGCATCCGAGGCAGTACACCTCAGCATACCAATGGCTGAGAAATGGGAAATGTTACTCAAGCCATGCTCATGGTCTTCCCATCAGCAGCTAGTTAGAATTGTAGAGTGATTGATTTGGATTGATTTTCTGCTCCATACAGAAATCCAAGTAAAGCAGATCTGGCAGAGGGTTGTCCAGTTTCCTCCTGAATGCCTCCAACAATGGAGCACCCACTCGTAATTGATTCCGTTGTCGTACTGCTCTAACAGTTAGGACGTTTTTCCTGATCTTCAGCCTAAATCTGACCTCTTGTAGCTTCAGCCCATTTTTACATGTCTTGTATTCTGGGAGGATCGAGAACGGATCCTGCCCCTTCTCTGGCTGGCTACCTTTCAAGTATTTAAAAAATGCAAACAGGTTGGCTGTGCTTGGAGCAGAAAAGGGAGACTCGTTAAGCCCTCGGTCTGATCCAGCAAGAGCCTCCTAACGTTCTTGTGTCCTTATGCTGTATTTCCATGTTGACTCTTTTTTTTCTGACTATGTTCTTGTCCTTTTTTTCCGTCCAGGAAATTGCACTGCACGAGGAATTATATCCACATGCACCTCTTCATGTCTTTCATCATGAGAGCAATTGCCGTCTTCATCAAAGACTTCATCCTCTTTGAGAATGGAGAGTCGGACCACTGCTTAGTCAGCTCGGTCAGTTGCAGCTCCTTCTCTTGAGTAGTTGTGTGGGGGGTTCCATCGTATTGATTGTCTGTTAATTCCTTGTCATTTAATTCAGCGTCCTTCAAGTCTAGGATAACACAACCTTCGTAAGCCCTACCTAGCTTAGATCCATGGCTCCCAACCTTGGGGATCCCCAGATGTCCTTCGACTACAGCTCCCAGAAGCCTTCAGCCCTAGCTGTGCTGGCCAGGATTTATGGACATTGTAGTCCAAGAACATCTGGGGACCCAAGGTTCGGAACCACTGGCATAGATGATGTTGCCTGGGGATGATCAGAATTTTAGTCACATCCGAAGGATATCAGGTTGAGAAAACAGGTCTACCTCCTCAGTTGCCTGCTCTGAATGACAAGTAACAAATAATGAATTGCACTTAAAAAAATAATATTCCAGGCTCAGAGGGTGAAAGCGTGCAGAATCTACTTGCTTCAGGCATGCCTAGTGCTGCATCGCTTCAGGCTGTTGATTCCAGCCATTTTATTAAGTTTCTATACCCTTGACAGATTTTGATGAGTGATGCTAACCAGCAGTTCCAGTTTCGCCAAGTTCCTGCATTGAACCGTATGTTCTGTTAGCACTTAATTTTCGAGGCCATGTTGCTAGATTTGTGAAGTGAATACACAGAATTTCTGTTCAGGCTATTGCTAATGCTGATGGTGTGGATGTGGATTTCAAGGCCTCCCGTTCCGAGAAGTTCTTCATCAAGTGCAACGGTTCCCAACCTTGGGCAACGCGGGTGTTCTTGGACTGCAACTCCCAGAAGCCTTTAACACTAGCTGGGCTGGCCAGGATTTCTGGGAATTGCAGTCCAAGAACATTTAGGGACTTACTGTTGAGAAGCATTGATGCAGGAGGTAACTTGCCCCTCAAAACGAGTTCTCTCTCCATCTATCTATCCATGTTTGCTCCCATCCTTGCCTGTTTCTCTGCAGTTACCATTCTTTGTTGACTCATCTTCTCAACGCCTAGAAAAGTTAGTTTCTTGCAACTATGACTCCCAGAACCCTCCAGCCAGAAGAGTCCTGAGTCCTTAGTATCTTGGAACTAACCTTATGTTCTGACTCATGAGCAAAAGTTCTCGGTTATTGCATCGTAGAGGGAAATGCAAGACACAGTTTCAGAATTATTTATCAGAGCTTTCTTTTCCTTTCAGAAGTGTGGGCGTCTGTCCAGTTCAGTCCAATAAAGTCGACTCTTAACTGGTCAATTGACCTCGTCTTATCTGAGCAATGGACAAACATTGCAAGGCAGTGCCCTCTAACCAGAGCCTTGGAGAAGTTACTCTTTTGGACTACAATTCCCATCATCCCCCATCCAGCCCGACCACCCATCGGGCTGCTTGCAGGGTTCTGGAACGGCTGTCCGAAGAATGAGCTTTTCCAAACTCTGCAGAGACAACGACGTTACATGTGGGAAACGTTGCAAAACCTCAAAAGGAGGCATGAAATGGCCCGGGGTTAGGAAAGGAGGAAGTTCTAACAGAACTTTTTCCAAGCTGAAAACCTGCAAGGGCGATTCAGCTTTATTGCAGAAATCTGTGGCTGTCAACCGGAAAGACCAAAATAACTAGACAATGTAGCCTGGGGTGTTTTCCCATCCCTGCTTAAAATGGAACTCACACCACACAAAAAATGTCCCTTTTCTCTTTTTTTGGCCATAGGCTATGAAAGCTCAGAGGCCATTTCAGCCAAACTAGAGTGTGGGGTGGAACACAATATCGTTTTCTTCCATCCCCACAGCCTTGGGAGCAATAGTCCATGATCGCGCACTGCCTCGCTTCTGGGTCAGAAGGAACGCTCCCAACTAGGTATGAGGCAGGAACAGGAAGCTTGGGTGAAGCTAGGCCTAGCTCAGCCTGGAAGCTTTCCCGTCTAGGCCTTGTCTCCCAGGTGAGCCATAGTAAGGAATGATAAATTGTCTGTAACTCAAGTGGCACCTCCCGGAAGTGGAAACTATGGGGTTATTTTTTAGCACCGAGGAACAGAAAGGGGAAATAGAACAAATGAGCCTTCTGGTTTAGCCTTACATCTCTTGTTGGTGTTATGAACATAACAATACAGCAAATTTACAGCTTGGATTTAAGGAATCAATTATATTTTGGGATGATAAAATGCTATACATATAAATGGGAACTTATTAATTTTCCTTGGCTGTCTGTAAACCATGGGAGTATAAAAAAGTTACCTCTTTTGGAGTGCAGCTCTACATTTTTGGAGGAGGATAAGGCTTGGCTGGCGGTGTTTTCTCGGAACGATAGTCCTACGAAGTAACTTTTCCAGGCAATCACCGTTTCTGAATTCCATGCTCTGCTTCAGAGCCAAAAGACTGGCTTTGATCCTGTATCGAGAGAATCCTTTTAGAACCAAATGAAGAATTTGCTGAGTTCTAGGGTCAGTTTCCTTTTGCCAAAATGTCTCACAACTGTTTTACGGATGAGGGTGCAAACTGGGAGTAGCTTCTAGAAATGAAATGTTGGGATTAGAAAAGTTTTTGCGAGAACTGGGAAGAGATGGGGGGCCTCGATTTTTTAAAAAATTGAGGTAAACGAGAGAGACCGCTGCCCTTGGTATAGCATTTCGTCAGCAGCTTCCACCAAACGGAGTGTGGATTCAAACCTCCATGTTCAGTGACTGTATACCTTTTATTTTATTTTATTTATTCTATTTATACCCCGCCGTATCTGGTCGTTGTGACCAGATAGGCGGGATTAACATGAATGGATGAAGACACACACACACCCCAAAAAAGGGGGGACTGTGCATGGCTTTCCACCTATTCTTCTGGGTTCCTGCCATGGCATCTGGCTAGTAAGGATTGGAGAAAGGAAGCAAGCCCCCAAAAGGAGTGGAGAGGAAGGGATTAAAGGGAGACCCCACTAAATGTCACCCACCATCTCATGGAAAAGGCAGAGCAAACCTTTCCTTTGGAAATGGCCAAGACAGCCGATTCCGGCTAAACTCGGGTAGTTAGTTGTGTTGGTAGCCTGCCTTTCCTCTAGTGCAGTCATGCTCAACCTTGACTCCCCAGATGTTCTTGGACTACAACTCCCAGGAATCCTGCCCAACACAGCTAGGGGTGGAGGCTTCTGGGAGTTGTAGTCCAAGAACACCTGGAGACCCAAGGTTGGGAACCACTGCTCTAGTGAGCTCAAAGCAGCAGCATGCATGTCCCTCTTCCTCCCTCTTTGAGGCTCACAACCACCCTACCAAGCAGTTCAGGCTGAGAGGCCGTGCTCACCTAGCAAATTTCATGGACGAGTGGGGAATTTGAATCCGGGTCTCCTGAACCACTCTGCAAACACTACTCTGGAGATTCTGCCAGTGGAACAGACCGCTTTGAAAGACAGTAACATTTCTATAGGGGAAGTATTTGAGCAGAGAAAGGAGGACCCTTTGCTGTGGATCCTGCCATGTCCTCCTCCAGGACAGGTCTTTTACGGGGCAGGATGGGGCTGGACTAGATGCTCTCTGAGGCACCCTCCTGCTCCAGCATCCTGCCATTTTAAATCCAGGAGTTCAAAAACATGATGCTGTTAATAGCCCTGTGGCCAGTCTGTAGTTATCCATGCAAATTTAAAAGGAGCCAGTGGCAGTTATGCCAGTACTGTGAGGACAGGAGGGAAAGATTTCAGGAGAGCCCCCTCCTTTCTGAAGGGATGGTAATGTCACAAGCTCCTTTTCACTGGACCCAGAAGCTTTTCCTGGAGGGCCAGCGTCTGTCCTTGGATGCCCTTCCATTCCCTTCTCCCAAAGCTCTAGTCTCCTCCGATGAGCCTGCTTGATTTGGCACACACGCGCCATGAGCAAACTGCCAACCGAGCGCGTTTCAGTCTTGATTCTGGTCAGATTGCCTGCCCAGGGCCAGAGTATTGGCCTCCCCTCCATGCCCTTGTGTCGCCTCCTTCTGTTCCCTTGTTGGGTTTCCGGACGACAGAACGAGACCTTCACAAGGGCGTTGATTCACTGAAGGCATGGCTCTTCGTGACTGTTGTTACTCTTGCGATGAGCTAATCAGGTGGGCAGAGTCTGTGGTTTTTGGACTACACTTCCCAGAACGCTGCCTGGAAGGTTCTGGGAGTTGGGGGGGGTCCAAGAACACAAACCTACACGCCTTGCGTTAACGCCCTCCGTGTGCATCCTGCATGCACAGTGTGCATTAATGTGCATTTTAAAAAGGAGACATCCGTGCGGTTGAAGCTGAAATACAGGTTAAGCTCAGTAAAAAAGGAGAGGTTGAAGCTGAAATACAGGTTAAGCTCAGAACTCGGAAACATTGCCAGGGGTTAGTGTAGGCAAGAAAATGTGACATGCCCAGTCTCTGGCTACTCAAGACACATGGCACGTACTTGAAGGTAGGTTGCTTTCAAAAAAGCAAAAAAAATCAAGTAAGCATCCATGAAAGCCAGGCAGGAAGAAAACCAACATGAAAAGAGATCCATTCAATCGGAATACAGGGCTGGAGGAGTGCTTTGCCCAGGCCCTAGACTGCCAGGAAGACAAACAAGTGGGTCCTAAATCAAATCAAGCCTGAACTGTCCCATTATCCACAGAGGAGCTAAGCCCTTTTCTCATGATTAAAAAAGCAGACGTTGGTCTCTGGCTTCCTCTAGTGGGTGTTCTACTATAGATCTGCAGACAAACCTGTTAAAAGTCAGGCTGTCCTGCTTTGAGCACATCACGAGAAGGCAAGATTTGCTGGTAAAGACAGTAATGCTGGAAAAAGTTGTAGGCAGCAGGAAAAGAGGAGGATCCAATGTGAGAGGGCTTGACTTCCTAAAGGAAGCCACAGCCTTGAGCAGGGCAGCTTAGAACAGAACATTTTGGAGATGGTTCGTTCCTAGGGTCGCCATTCGCCAGAGGCGACTTGATGGGACACCAGAGCCACAAAGGAAGAAGTTGGCTAAAAATGAGTAAAGAAGCTCTTCTGGTTCAGCTTCTGAGTAAAACTTTTGTTCCTTGTCTTTCTTTCCAGTTTGGCTGCAAGGCGGCGATGGTCTTCTTTCAGTACTGCGTTATGGCCAACTTCTTCTGGCTCCTCGTTGAAGGCCTGTACCTGCACACACTGCTGGTTATCTCCTTTTTTTCAGAAAAGAAGTCTTTAGTGCACACATGCTTAGCAACTAACCAAACGGATCAACAGCAAACAAACAACTGCCTCCAACAGCCCAAGAAGGAAAAAAGAAAAACCCAGCAAAGAGGCAGGGTTCTCTATGAAGTCGTAAAGGCTGGAAGGATCAATTGGTTAGTGCTGGACAAGTACTGTATACAATCCCTTCAGGCCAGAAAAATCCCTCCCAGTTGTACGAAAAACAGAGGGCCTCTGAGATGGCAAATGAAACAACCAAAATTAAGGGGGAAATTAAAGTGGAAAGAGAAAAGGTAGAAGAGAGAGGGGGGCAAAATATTGAGGCACTTAAAAACGAATGGATTTATTTTAAATAAATAAATTTAATAGTGGTCGCATAGACCTGATGGGCGAGATACAAATCAAATCAAATCAAATCAAATCAAATCAA